ACTCTTGCCCAGTTTCAAATCCAGAAGACAGCCAAGGATGTTCATCTGTTCGTCTGTCCATCTGTCCGCCTGCTAACTGCGTATTATCTACGGTAAGCGTTCTCCCGTTCGCAAAAATGAAAATATCTCCTATGAACTTGCAAAAGAATTTGAAAATGTTTCAAGATTTTTAAAGGACATACTTTCACAGGCGTACAGAAATCTTTTACTCAAATTTATTAGACGATCTAACGATTGTAAATTTTCGAAACCTTTAACGTAAATTGATTTAAACGATGCAATAAGAATATATCACATTTTCCATCTTTTCCTTAGATTTTCGTTTTGTTCGCATATATGCATAGCATATTTACTTATAAATGTATATACCTATAAACGCAGAAATGTATAGAAAAAACTTTTAAAGGAAGTCTTGGCAATACAGATAATGTGAACGAAAATGCAAGCAGTTAAGTGTATGTTAATTAACAACTGTACTACTGTAAATGGTAACAGAGACACTAGAAGTCTACTTCTTTTTATTTTGAGAAATTTCTTAGCCATTACTTTTTTTTTCACCTCTGGTTGAACGCATTTCACGCTTAATCGAGACTTTGCAAAAATACACCACATTATTAATTATCATTATATACATATATATATATGGTGATGCTTGATATTTTTCCTTGGTTGGAAAAATTTACCTTTAATTGAATGATGCCAGGAGTGGTCATGTTGAATTTAAAATTCTTGTAGCTATGAAAAGAGATCAATTTACATATTCTCCCTAAAAACACAGAATTTTATATGCTTCTGCTTTGCAAGCGTTTGAGAGTATAAGACGTTATATTAAAAAACTATTCAAATAATTTTTGCTCGTGCATATAAAGAGAATCAAAAAGAAATCAATTAAGTGACGCTAATTAACAGCGTTACTTCTATGTTATGGATAACAGACACTCAAAAAGTCCATAATAATCTTTTAATTGAATTGGGAAAAAAAAATGTTGCACCATTGTTGTCATTTGTCAGATAGTTGTGTTTACGTCAATAAGACACTTCATTTTATTTTTAAAGATTCTTCAACACGATTGTTATATTAATTCTCTCTGGTAACATCTCGTCATTTTGACTTTCACCAGAAATTTAGTTATGGTCTAGCAATGTTTTCAACCCACATACATTGTGAATGGCAATAGTCCTCTGCAATTTATATAGTCAAATCAAAAAAGTTATATATCTGCTACATGTCCATATATATGCATATAGTGTTGTTAATCACCATTAACGACTGACCAGATAAAATACAAACAAATTTCGTTTTAAAGACATTTCCGAACATAATTCACGTCATTTTTATTTAATTGGTTCTTGTATCAGATAAATCCTAATTCTCCCATGTGTAATATGTAAATCGCTTCATTTTAATACACATGTTAACAACAGTTCGAACTATTGGCAATCTTAACAACGAACAGTGATGAATTTGTACTATCGATACGGGCGATTAATGTAAACATAGAAAACAAAAGAATAATTAAAGTGCTGAATGTGGAAAAATTTACAAAATTCACATTTTGAAGAGAACATGCGATAAACAACGACCGTAATGCAAGTCAACAGTAAATAAACGTTTAAAATTCGTTCATTCTACAGCGAAAATATAGTGGCATGCAGACAGTGCTGAAAAACATTAATTTACCGATGAAGTATTAAGTTGTGTTGCTTGAAGAGAGCATCGAATCTTACCAGGAAAGCTGGTCGCCTTTTTGTATCTTACTTTATTTTAACCATATATTGCCAAATATACGCAGAAATAATTAGCCAATTCGAGAATATCCTGAACTATCATTCATAGCCACTTTGGGTGTAAACATAGCAATAGCTGATTAGCTTGACGATAAAGAAAACTTTTTGGAAATGAATGAAACTACGGGAGAGACCAATGCAGTTGAAACGTTAGAGAATACCGATACATCAACAACGGTGCCTTATGAAGATAACACCGATGGACCCGATGCTTATTTATGGCTTTTAGTATTTTCAGTGTTAATGTTCACTTTTCCATTTTTAACATTTTATAGCTTGAAATCCTGGTTATTGGAATCATTTAAATTAACCACATTTCAAGTGAATTGCTTTTCGGTTCTAGCGTCTGTGTTGGTAGTAAATTTTATAATCTGTTTTTATGTATTTAAAGCTTTTCGCGAGGTCGATCCGTCTAGCAACTCCAGGACAGAGCGGATTTCTGTCAATAAAAAAAAAGATTGAATAAAATAAGCAGCCTTTGTACATATCTAATTTACTTTGTACTTATTTATTGATTACGAAAAGACACGATACAAACCGAAATAATGGAGACTAAAGCAATATACTTGTACCGCACAGTGAAACAGTCCTGTATATCACTTTAAAGTGTTTAAGTAACAATTTTTCACTTTATTTTACGTATAAATAGATGAATAATGCAATCATAACACTAATCCCATCCCTGGAATTTGCTTTGCAGTCAAATGTATTAGAAGTAAATGAAAAGGGGCAAGGAATAGACAACAAGGTTTACGCAAATAATAGCGGTCCCAACCAGTTCTAGCTTAAGCACCAGCTTATACAAGTCAACTATGTATTGCAGTGATTATATTTGGTCAATAAAATTGTCTAGAAGTTTAAGGTACAGTGTAAGGTAAGCTCCAAGATTAAGCAGTTCCAATAGCGATCCACTCAAACCACAAAAGATCTTTCAAGGATTAACTCTTTAAATTCTTGAGATGTATGAAAGGCAAGAATCTGGATTTATATACGAAGCGACGGGGGGAAACTCACACGTTAGGAAATGTAGCTAAACTATACGATATTTGACATAACAGTCACTGAAATTATACCTAAGAATGCTCTGACGAAATATGATACTTACATCTGACATTGTACACAAAATCGACGATCGTATTAAGTATACTTCGCAATCTATTAACTATGACTTCAAGCGAGACAGACAAAGGCCAGCCAATATAAGATATATAGGATGAGAAGAGTCTGAGATGAGCCTGTTTCTATCTGTCTTGCATTCATTCCTCCTAAAATGATAATATGAAATGAATATTTCTTTGGATTTCTTTACCCTTAATGGAATCTGAGAACACTTCGTGTACATATTAAAGAAAAAAATCCTGCATTGGAGTTGATTTGGAGTTGAAAAACAATGCCATTCAAAGACATTCACATTCAATTGGGAAAATTACATTATATCTTTGCAGGCATAAATGGTGGAAGAAGAGTTTTCATCATTATCTCTCGGTTAGGACTCCATTATTCTCTAACAGGCATGTCCACTAATGTACTAAAGTAAAGTGAAAAGGGGATACGTGCTTGAGCGGCAGTACAAGTTTTCCTCATCGAATAGACATTTGATTATGAAATGAAATTTGTCCGTCTGTCCATCTATCAAAATTCTACAGGCTGTCTATATATATATATATGTATACATATTATGCCCAATCGTATTTATCGTCCGAAACTGTGATTAAAATCCTCGTAGTCATCTTTAAATCTTAGCCAACTACATACACGTACATATCACGAAGTTAAACAGTCGGTTTTTTGATTCTGATGCCTTTGACGTCACAGTAAAAAGTTTAAGTTTTTGAAACAAACTAAAATCCTTCTTTATAGGGTGTATTGCGTCTGCTCTCTTTTATGAGAAACAATGTGAATACTTTTTTTACTAAGATATCTGGAAGATACTTCTATTTTCAAGTAAATCTATTGGCCACATAGCTAATATCTTGTTTATAGGCATGTTTAAAAATTGTTATACCCTACGCCACTTGTGGTTCAGGGTATATTTAGTTTGCATGGACGCAAAATAGTTTAAGTTAAACCCACCTTGTTTGTCCCTCTGTCCATATGTCTTGTTTTCTTGTATTCTACCTGCAGGCCGCAATATTCTGAGATGAAGTTTACTTCACCTGAGCTGACTGACTTGTTTTGGCCCAAAGGCAAACACTACTGCAAAACGATTCGAATTGAATCGTATATACCGTATTTTTCGAACTATAAGATGCACTTGTTTGCGTAGAAAAATGGACTTGAGCTTTTTTAGCGTGCGTCTAATGGTCCGAAGGTAAGATTAAAATAGTTCTTTAATAAATCGTCTCTAAATTTGAGCTACGCCTTCAGTTTACAATGAAAGTAACACGAACGGTGACATTAACAAGACGAGGGATAGTATCGAGAATGTCTTGGGGTAGTGTCAAAATTCTCAGTAGCTCTTTAACATTCTTACTTCGAATTGAAAGTCTTTGTTGCAGCGTTTATCACACACATTATAAGATGGATACGCCTTGGATACGCCTACATTTTGCATAGAAAAAATTTGTTGTGAATCACGTCGCTTAAGCACATTTTTTTTTATTTTTTTAAAAGTAATAACGACTTTAATTATACTAAGGTTTAATCTCTGCTTAATCTCTCATATGAATTCAAAATCAACTGTAGAAAGGATAAAAGTGACTCTTAAGGTCCAAGTGAAACTTAAGTAGGTGTAGGTGGGAACATGGGTGAAAGCAAAAATGCAGAGAACTTTTACTGTTCTGAATTACTATCTTAATTTTATTTTCTCTTATTACGTCTACTATTATTATTATTATTATTATTATTATTATTATTATTATTAAATTTACTTTCATTATTGTTGGCAAGTTGGACATTTTCAATCTCTTTTACTTATTTCATCGAAGTAATAATAATTAAAATAATTTAACTTATACCTGCAAATATATATATATATATATATGTATAGAGGCTTTGTATATATTTGTATTATACATATAAAATAAAATAAATTTGTGTGTATATACTTTAAATACAAAAGTAAAATTTACAAAAGTTTTCTTTCCACATAAAATTGATAAATTGATTATGTAGAATTATTTATTATTAAATATACATATACACATATATATATATATATATATATATATATATATATATATCGAAACAGTCAGAAACAATTTTCAGGTTATTGCAGTATCACTAACTAAGCTATTAACTAAAATTGATGCATAGAGTTGTGATAATCCGGTCGATTATATCGATGATTGGGCGTACGACTTGAAAATTGTGACAAAGTATCATCACCTGGCGGTGCCACCAATAATATCGGTTGTAAATTAAGATTTTTACGTGAACCAGCTAAACTTACTGCATCGGTTATATAACCATTGTTGATTTCTCCTTGAATATAACAAAAGAAAAGAAAAAAAAAAAAAAGAGAAAAAAAAATGGAATAAAAACACTAACGTATGTATCCCGTAAAGATGTCGTTAATGTTACTTACCTTTAAATAATGAATTTTGATATAAAGGATCCGGCTGGAGTCGTACATGTCGAGTGGCCAATATAAATGCTAATGTTGACAACACGACACCGTCTATGCATCCGATAATGGCAAGAGGATAAGCCCAACGTATACCGCATAGACCTAATTCGAAACGATTCGCTTCTGGTCCGCATATTTTACGAAAATCATCGGAATTCCAACCGAATGGAAAAGCACAACAAGCAACTATCATGCAAATCGCTAAAAAAAAAACAAAAAAAAACAAAAAAAAGAAACAAAGCAAAGACAAAAGTATATAACGAGTGAATGCATGGGATGCAGGTATTTCCCTGTTTACGCGAAAATGCTATCATTTTGATACATTGATACAATGATGGAAGATCACTAATGAATGAATGTAATCAATAATCAAATTATTATTATTTTTATTTATTTATTTTTGTTTTTTTTTTTTTTTTTTGCATATAAACATAGAAAATCACAAAAGCACGCACACACACACGCAACCTTTCAGCACTGAAAATGTGTGTTTTTATTTATTTTTTTTTATTTATTTATTTATAAGAAAACATGTGATAAAACTAAACACGAGAAGTTATAGAAAATCAATCACGTGTAAATTAGAAAAATTGATCACTTACATGAAACGATTTGCATCCAACCGCATACATGAAAGACTCGTGTCGATTTCATAAATATAACTAATATTAAGAAACAAATTGTAAGTAAAGCCAATATCACCGAAGCAGCCATAAATAACGTGGCCAGCTATAAATACAATGCACATGTATATATATATATATATATATATATATATATATGTGTATAGATATAAAATTACTTCCTGTAAATCATAAATTATGGAATTGTCTTTTATCTTTACCTGAAATGAAAATGTTGGAACTGCAATTATATTCTCCCATCTGCGCTGGCAATTATCAAATATTTCATCCTTTTGGCATACTTGCCAAAGACCCAAACGGCCAGCGCTCTCGCTATCCGGATCACCCACCCATTCTGTAAATGTGTATAAAATATTGTTAAATTAAATAGGATTTTATAACATATTTTTTTTTTTTTTACATACCTGGTGTGACAAATGCCACAATACCAATAATAGCATAACATATAGTGAATATGGCCCAGAGAACAGCAATGGCTTTGGAATTACGTATATATTTGGTTGCATACAGATGTGTGCTGTCAACGTATTCAATCTTTGTACCCATTTTTTTATATTTGTTTATGTGCGTACGTAATGCTTCAATTTTTTTTTTTAACTAAATTGAAGAATTTTTTTTTTTTTTTTTTTTTTTGATAAAAGAAAAAATGCAATAAAATGAATTAATGTTTTTAGATTCAAAGTTAGGTTGGCAGATATATATTTTGAAAAATTTCGTAAATGAAATTATTGTCATATGAAAAGACATCAGGAATATATTTATGTAAATATATAGATTTCGATCTTTAGTTTTGCGGCTATTTGAATATAAAGCATATAAAGCCCAAATCGGAGGAATTGATTATGTATTTGTTTCATATTTCGACTTGAACCGGATTTTTCAATACCTAATACTAACCTGTGTATACTAACCTATGACAAATTAAATCTATATATATTGTACACACTTCCCCCATCATACGTATGGGATGTTTTAACATTAGCTATCATTTGTAATTCAACATACAACTGTTGTCGCGTTGATGTTTGACCAGCAAGTTGCTCCGATATGGATCGTTGTATATGCCTACAACGCTTTGTAATAGGGAAGATTTGCTAGAAATGATTTTTAACGACAAGAGTCGTCTTCATTTACTCACGCATATGAACAAGCAAGCAAAACTATGGCGGTTCAGGCTTGCGACAACCCAAAGGAAATAATCGAATCGATCTCTTCAATCATAGCGGATGAGCAAATGGTTTAGAATTACAATTGTGGAGAATACATTTTTGGGAAGGCAGCCGATTCGACCGTTACAATGCTTGGCGCTATGACTGTGAACGAGATCTATTTTCAGCAAGACGATCCGGTCTGGTAAGCCATTCGTGAAAAATTGTCTTTTTTTCGTGAGACTTTTCATCCTGAAAAATCTAAATAATATTGACAATCAAGTTGACAGTTTGTCTCAAGTAATTGTACAGAATCGGTTGAACGGATTTTCAGAAAATTTATAACGAATTTTTGTTTTTCTCTCCGAAATTTTAATGTCTTACTCTTCACTCTAATAAGCAGACATAAGGACAGACAATCAATTCCCTTCACTAACTATGAAAGAGAACGTGTATGCTGAAAAAATGGATTAGGGGGATACATGTTCCTATATATCTTACAAAGACCACTATTAACACCTTTCGATAATGAAAGTAAAAAAGGTACGGGTCTGATGGACGCAAGTCATGATTAAATCTGACCAAGAATGCAAATGCCCGTCAATGTCAAAGATGATTTGCAACTTGAAGCGAAGACAAAAAAAAAAAAATCTTCACAGCTTTTAAGCGGCAAATTTATTATTTAGCTCTGATTACGCCTTGGATCTCAGGCGACTATTTCGAACCGTTTATCTTTTCAAAACTTATTATATATAAAATCGATTTAATAAGCATTTAACTAATAAGACGAGATTCGAGACAACAATCGTAATTAATTGACAAATTTGAGTTGATCACGAAAATATCGATTTTATGATTACTCTATTGCCGATTGAATGAACATGTCAGTCCGTCTCGATTCTTTGCCGTTCATTTTCAAGTAAATTTAAGACTTCACCTTTCACTTTTAAGTTTAATCCACATTTCTTGTTTGCTTGCTCTTAAGTTTGTATATGTATGTGTATGTATGTATGTGTGTGTGTGTGTGTGTGTATGTGTAAAAGACCCTTTAGAAAAAAACAAAAATCCTTCATTAAAAGAACTGTGACAGTTGGCGGTTACATTACATATGTATATGTATATGTATATTGAATTACGACTGACTGACTAACTCTAGTTTTTCCTCTTTATTTTGCAATTACCTTCAACGCAACACAAATCTCTTGCACAAACAATTTTAAATAAACTGAAACGAATTATATTGAATTACTTGAAAAAAGAAAGAAAAAAAAACAAAAAAAAAGAATGAAAGAATTTACTAAAGAAACTGATGAGTAATTTTAATTTCGATTAGCCAATCAACTAAAGTGGACTAAGGTTTTTTCTGCGCTTTATAGGCAAACTGTAAAGTAAGAGATACTTAAGCTTACGTAGCGAAGGCGTATATATATATATATATATATATATATATATATATATTTGACTTGAAGATGACAATCACATTCAATCGCTTGGATCGGTTTTTAACAATTCAAAAACATGATCAATAAAATATATTTGATATTTTATGCAAATAATTCTGAATCGTTACTGGCAGGTGGCGCAAAAAAAAAAAATAAATAAATAAAAAAAAAACATATATAGATATAGCATAGATAGTAGAGTCAGTTTATGGTCTGCTTACTATGTATATATATAATACAATACCAGCCAATCAACATTTATATGTGAAGCGAAAAAATAAATATATATTAAAAGCTGCACAAACATAATTGCAGCAATGAGTCACTTAGTCTCCATTCTCCATATCATACCTTATGTCTTGATAATGATTAAATAAAAAAAAATGAAATTTTTTTGAAAAACACTTTTTCTCATTTCTCCTCTAAAACAATTTACAAAAAAAAAAAAAAAAAAAAAAAACCTTTTTTTTCTTTTTTCAGTCTGAGCCAAATTAAAATTACCGTAAACTTATGAATTTCGTTAAGAATCCTCGAGAGAAATCCATATTCAATTCTTTTTCGTATACAGTTATGTCTTATAACCTTCGACCAGGGTCTCTTAATTACAGCTGTATAGGAGACAATGTACAATATATTTAGAGTACAGTACAGTAACCCTCCCTGTAGCAAGGTAGATTAATTCCCCGTTGCTCTGCGGGCCACCGTGTTATACTAGGGACTACTGTATAACTTTCCAAATTTTAATTCTGTTACTACTTCGTTTGCATTTGTTTTTTACCAAATTAATTATATTTGTTCAAGTGTATGACTTGAAACTTTATTGTATCGCGTAGTGTTCCATTTTTAACTTTAACGACTTTAACGACGCGATATAAAAAAAAAAAAAAAAAACAAGTAAAAACATTACACTCGCACAAGGTCGATCATTAAATAACCTACACCATCACGCTTAATACATTTTACTTATGTAGTAAATGCAAAAAAATTCTGGATTATTTTTAGGTAAAGGTGAACTTCTCGTAGAAACTCTCTTATGAGAGCGACGGGTCGCGGAAAACTTCAACTGACATCGAACAAACAAAACACAAATGAATTCTCTTTTTAAAACACTCGGTATTTTTCATTTATTTTCGTCATAAAATACTAAAAATTCGACTTTGTTATCATATAGTGGCAGCTTTTTCATTAAAACACTTATATAGTATGGAGACCAAAATACTGACCTACATTAACGCACCTAGTTTTTATAATAAATTACTTTTACGGAGCAATTTTCTTTCCATACAAACGTTTGCATGGAAGAGGGTTTCAAAAAAAAAAAATCGTCCATCCGATTCAAAGTTTTCATATCAATATTTATTCGGGAAATTGGGGAAAATAACTTTACATGTAATGGTGTCTTCAAAATAAGGCATTATATGAGGAGGATCTGATCAAAGCTATTTAAATATCTGACAACTTGCACCCTGTAGAAATAGAAAAGTACATAGGAAGACATCAGGCGGACGGACGGACGGACGGACAAACAAATAAGTTAAACTAGCAAAGCTAATGCACCCAGTATCGCAAATAGTGCAGGATATAATAAAACACAATATATAGGAAAGTATAATTAAAAAAAAAAAAAACATTAGTAAGAAGGATTAGAATTCAGTCGTGACCGAATCTTTTATACCCATCACCCTTTAACCCAAAAAAAAAAAAAAAAAAAAAAAGTAAAAGAACGAAATTCTCATGCTCTATAATATAAAATGGGCGTAGTTGATTTCTTCTATTTTCAAAATAAACGTTTTCCTCGTAGAGGTATGTGGGCGCTGCGGGCGTCCCCTTTGAAAAGTTTAGATCAATTCCAAATCCTTTTGCAAAATTTTAGGCGACAGCGTCATTCCCACTAACAGGAGAATGTTTACCACAAACACTACAAAGTTATGCAAACAGACATACGAACAGGCGGACATTCCAAATTTGGATCTGGCCAAGAATTTGCATATTTTATGAGGCCTCTGCGCGTTATAAAGGCATTGAAAAACCAATTCCATCTTGATAGACTGCGATATTAGGTAGGCGTGGTCAGTTTTCTTCAATTTTTATGCACAAATGCTACAGCATCGCTCATATTCGATCAATTGATCCATTTTCAATATCGACCTGCGTGCAAGAACTTCCAATGTTTCTGCCAGGAGAATGCTTACAATAGACATTGCACAGACGGACATACTTAAATCGATTTAGCATTCGGTGCTAATCAAGAGTATATATGTATATATATATATATTTGATGGGGTCTCTGATGCTTCCTTTTGGGCGTTGCAAACGTTTTGACAAAATGAATATACCCCTCATCCTTCTGTGATGGGTATAAAGAAAAAAAAAAAAAAAAAAAAAGTTAAAAAATATATATACGTTTCTGTCCGTACTTCTGATGTACGTGAATTTGTTGTTAAAAGCATCAGTTTTCACTGAATCCCACCTTGAGTTTGGTTACGTTGGCAATTGATTAAATCGTTAAGTATTCTTAAATACAATTAGTAACTGTATCTTCACGATTAGGTAGATACGAGCAAACATCGTGGGACAACAAGTCATGGATATTGCATCACGATAATGAGTCAGCTTCGATGTTTCATGATTGCTTGCATTCGTAATTTTTTGGCCAAAAAACAAAACCGTAAGCATGTGCTCAACCAACGTATCCACCGGACTTGCGGCCCTATTTCCAAAAGTGCAAACACCCATGAAAGGACGATTGAGGACATAACAGACCGCATCCCTGGAAGAGCTTAAGGTCGCGTCAAAAATCATTTATCAGAAATGCCTCGCGGTCTGGAAAACCCATTGGCACAAATCTATTATAAAGCCATATTTTTATTTTTTTTTTTGAACGCACCTCATATTGTATATGTAGGTGGGGAGATAAACTATGCTTTGATGGGTAGCATAGATGTACCGAAACTCTCACCTCCCAGTGATGATCCCCGGGCAACGTCTTCGGCCGGCTAAGAAGATT